AGCGGGCCTTGCACATGTTGCCCATATTAAACTAACTAAATTGCAACAGGGATGGCCCACTGCTGCGAGCTAAACTTAAGGACGCCCACCGACACATAATGCTTGCCAACCATCCGGATCGTGGTGGTTCACCGTACCTAGCGAGCAAAATCAACGAGGCCAAGGATCTATTAGAAAAGACCGACGGAGGTCGTAGCCGCTGAACTCACCCTTGAGTAAGTCGTTCGCTTACACTTCTACCAGGACCAATATTGACGCACTTTCTTGTCAGTCTGCATCATCACACTGTATCATTATCATCTTATAATCGTATAATTCTCCCTGCACCACTACCCCACTCTGTTTTGCTATCCCAATTTCTATTCATTCGCGGAAGGCTGCAATTTCAATCTACTTGTAAATGCCTCAACGTTTCTACCTGCGAGCGTTTGTTTTTCGGGTCATATGCCATAATATTATTGGCACTCCGTGAGAGCGCCCATTAGGTGTTCTGCGCATCTCCCTTGCGCAGCAATTCAACTAGAGCAGTTGACTCTTGAGGGATGTTCATTCCTCCACAGCTGTGATGACTAAGCAATAGATATCTTATGGATTCACTACAACCCTCAAAGCTTGGTACTAAAGAACAGTGCGTCTTATTACTTTGGTGAAACCCCGGCTTCTATAGAACATACATACAGCTGGGATCAAGTTTACGCTGAGGAGATTGGCAACTTCGAAGAGATTGGCGATGAAGGGGAGATCTGGTGAGACCGTTGATAAATTTCCCAATTTATTTTATCAACATTGCTAGGTTCGGAGAAGAAAGTGTCGAGAGGATGGTTGATTGGGCCCAGGAAAACGCTCCTCCGCAGTCGAGGCCTTCAACAGTCGAAATCGGTAGTGGAAACGGAACTCTACTCTTTGCTCTTGCCAAAGCCGGTTATGCTACCACTCATCTTTCCGGCATAGATTACAGTGCTGGCGCCGTGAAACTTGCACAATCGATAGCTACAACGCGCAATTTAGAGGTTACTTTCAACACCTCTGATTTCCTCCGGGACGATCCGCCACTATTGCCCCACATGAAACCTCATCCAGAAGGTGTTTGGGATCTGGTCTTGGACAAGGGAACTTTTGACGCGATAGCACTTGGGCAGAAAGACGAGAATGGCAAATCTCCGGCTGCGAAATACCCTGGACGCGTAGCGGAGATCCTCAAACCCGGAGGATGTTTCTTGATCACTTGTGCGTTCTCATCTCTGTCCAAAAATTTCAAGCTCATCGCGGTTCTGGTAGCATGCAACTTCACAGACGATGAACTGCAAGCCATATTCTCAACTAGGGATACACGTCTCATGTACCAGTATGTTTCACATTCTTAAGTTACAGGACTGCTAAAGAAGACCATAACAATAGCTCACGAATAGAGCATCCCACGTTTTCGTTCGGAGGCAAAAAGGGAAGCATCATTGCAAGCGTCGCGTTTCAGAAGATCGGACTCACATAGTATCGGGATCTGGTTGGCTAAGTTGGTTCGTTTATTTATCGTTGTGGACTATGGATGGCATTGGCGTAAAGACACAGTTCGATTGTATTGTACCAATTTTAATCATTCGTTCTTCAAGAAACCCTAACAGAGGTCTGAAAGAGTTTCAACTTTCAAGCATATACATTGCGTATTTCAAGTTGTCCCTTTGCGAATCGAATATCACTCGGTCAATTCATGAGAAGATCGCATTCCACGACGTGAACTACAATCCGGGTACTATGTCAACTCCCGTCCGCAGTGTGTCCTTAGCTAGTCCGCTAGCCCATTTGATCAGCTTTCCCATATCGTCGCTATCCTTCGAGAGATCTCGGAATGCTCCCGATATGAAGTACACCAATCCCATAGCAAGGGCCTGTATTCGCGTGGCCTTGATGAAGATTTCCTCGATCGCACTGCGGTTCCGGGAGGTGGGAACATCCGACGTGATCAAAGGCGTTGACCTTTGGCTGCAGATGAAGACTTGCATGAGCATTTCTGTGAGGAACTCTGTAGTCGTCTTCTTTAATGAGGTGAAGTCAACGGGCTGGGGAAGCAAAATGAATCAATCATATATTGGATTATGAAAAGAGTAAGCGTGCGTACTTTGAGGATGGCAAGAGTCACACAATCGTTTGCTATCCACCATCCATAAGCTCGAGCGACGTTGCGAATCCTTGTGGTGGATATGCTCTTTATGTCGAATCCATCCTCCTCCTTGAGATTCTTAATGAGCTTAGTTCCGCCAACTGATGTTTCACCGAGGTCACGTAGGAAATCCCAAAGAGAGAACTGAAGTGTAATTCTGTACGAGTGAGATATGCGGCAGAGCTGCTGGCAGACGAGGGTGTAGTAGGGATTATACGACCTTTCCTATAGGAAAAGATAAGTATTTTGTTCAGCAAACGAGGGAAGCAATAATTACATTCCCACAACAATGCAGTAAGACCCGCACAATCTCTCGTTGCTGTACTTCGGTGAGATTAAGCTGTGATAACCTCTCGCAAGCATCAACATAGTCCTGAAAGGACTTTTTCAATGCGTATAGAGGTGCGAAGTATAGGAAACTCACGTCGCTGCTCATGAGCACCACAAAAATACTTCGACGAATATCAGTATTCATGCCTTGCTTGCGAGCAAGCTGGATGAGATCTCCAGCAGGATCGGTAGCTTCTGCCACCTTAATAGCTTTCACCTCTGTCTGGTGATCGACGAGAGGATCACCACCCCAGGCAGCGCCAACCAGCCACCATTTTCCCTTCGTCCCAGCGGAGTGCAGATCCTGAAGTGAGACACGTAACGGCTCGTGCGCCAAAACTAGTGGGGAGAGTCAACTTAACGACTATATACGGAGGCTACAATCGCAAAGACTAACCAGTTCGCTTCTTGCTCAAACCCGAAAGGAACTTTTTCATCCGCTCGACAGAATCTGCTCCCTGATTCTGAGTGGCACTTCGTTTAGATTTATTGTTCTTGAGGTTTATGAGCGTTTCAATCATAAATTTGGTTCTTGAGCTGAACAAGCAGTTCAACTAGTATAATTCTTGACAAGAAGTTGACTCTACCTTAGAGCAGCATCGTCTTTTTCTAAGACTTTGTTCTGAACGATTTGGATGATATCCTTTAACGCTGTAGGATCATCTTGTCGAAGCTGCAGACCGGAATCTGGAGCTCTGGGTCAAATAGAACAGATGTGCAGCTTTGTTGTACATACTTCGGACGATCTTGAGAAGAAGTTCCACACCAAATTCGCTGAGCCCAGCATCTAGAAGTCCCCGAATGATGTCGAATACCAGGACGGAGGAGATGACTTGGAAATTGTAAAGCTCGGAAAGGAGAACGATCAAGTTGGAGCACTCTTTTCCGGAGTCTTCCTCTTCCATAGGGGCTGTCTGTAGTGCTCCAAAATGGCGTTCATAAGAGGAAACGACGTTTTGAACAAAGTACGCCGCTACAAAAATGTATTAGCTTCCCCCGGATAATAGTGGGGAGTGTATTGTGCTTTACCAAACTCAATGCCGACAATTTTGTGCAAGCTGGAGACAAACGCAGCATACATGACGACATATGAGTCCAGAAGCGATGAGTGCGAGGAAATTCCATTAATAATAAGCGTTGTAAGGCTAGTAGTAACGTCTAGCTTGATGGTCAGCATCTAGAAAACCATGCATGGATTTAGCGTCACCATTTCGCCGGTTCTCCCTGTATATTGCCTCTATGTTATCCAATATGGAGCTCATATTTTGTTCGCTCATTCTGATGAAATGTAAGTGAAAGATTTGCGTCGTAATTCAGGCACCTACCGATTGAGAAGACCTTTCAACTGTCTGGAGAGTCGGAGCATAGACTCAGACGGCTTTTCATTGGCGAGTTCCTTATTTCGCAAATGGGGAGGAAAATAACGGGTCGCTAAATAAAGATGTATGAGTGAGAACGTCCTGTATGCCATGTTAGATTGGCTGACCAGTTTCCTGTGGTGGCAAGAGTTCGGGAGCATCAGATGCCACATCCTCTTCTTCTTCATTGCCATCTGCATCATCATCCAATCCGCGCCATTCGTCATCTTCATAACCCTCTGACCCAGATTCTGAGCCACTGGGCTGAGACTCCAAGTCTTCCTCTTCCTCGTTCAAGTCATTGTCGTCTTCGTCGCCTATTTCCTCGTCATCACCGCCTCCTGCCTACTATATGTTAGCTAAATATAGTGTGGTAAAGAGGTGCACGCACCAAGGGATCGACAAGGGTGTCCGCGAAGTCCAGAAGGTCTAAGTGAACAGAGTAAATGTATGTCGATCGAAAAGTTGATAGTGTCCACTGACCATCCAGGCCGTCGTCGTCTGAGGGCTTCTTCCGTTTTTCACCCTTGGTGTACCCAAGCTTCGCCTCAAGGTATGATATATATGCGTCTTCTTCGTCAGCCTTTCGATCTGGTATCCTCGGGGCACTAGACTTGGTCGCCAACTTTTCAAGCGCAGTCGTCTTTTTGGTTGGTAGTGGCTTAGCGTCGATTGTGGGCTTTGCTACGGCCTTGGGTGACTTGTGTTTTAGGGAAGGAGCAAGGGTCACGGCGACATTTGGTTGGTCGCGTTTTGCCTTTTTTCGTTGAGGAGACTGTTCGTGATCCTCTTCAGCGCGGCGTTTGTTATGCACCTGTCCGGCAGAGAAGTATTCTGCCTTGTGCTTTTTGCGATTTAGACGTTCCTCTTTCCGTGCCTCTTTACGAGTTATTTTTGGCCTGAACTTGCTTTTCGTTCGAGGGTGATCATTGCCTGAGATCGTGTTATTGCCAAGTGAATACAGGCTGTAAGTACGCCCACCTGAAACTTCGTCAAGCTCCTCTTGCAGCGACTGTGGAAGACGCGTCGTCGATGTTTTTTGCCTTGCAGCAGGCATGAGTGGATGGCCAAACTATTAGTTATGGGCAAATCTTTGGATTCACACAGGCAACCAGATCATCGCGCATTGTGTAGCCATCCTTTCTCCAGTTGCCAATGCATTGATAGTGTAGCGGTTATCATCGAGTCTTCCCATGAAGCTTACATCAGCAGATGTTAGTATACGGGATTTGGCTTGGACCCGGGTTCGACTCCCGGTCAATGCATTTTCTTCCTTTTTGCCACTCACCAGTAACCACGCCACTATCAGGGCGGCCATGCTATGTGTGAACAACGCAACCTTTTGCGCCACCCGGATAGGAAATTGATTGGGAGCACACGCCTCCTGGAACCATTGAGGGACAGTCGTTCAACATGGTTTGCGCCACCATCACAGTTGATACTACTTCGCCTGAACGAGGAAGAATTGTTGCTTGTGTTCAAGGAACACTAAGGATATTCGGATTCTCGACGGTTACCTACTAAACTCTAAAAGCATTGGTTGTTTCGAGTACCACAACTAGATTTAATCGATATCCCTTCCAGGTCGGATGGCTTCTTGTCCCCCAGACAGCACACGTGGCAGTAACTCATTTTGTTAATAAAGATGCTCGATACTTATAGAAAAACCGCCGATGGGCCTACAAATTTACTCTGCGTGAATAGACCCCTTCAACACATCTGCGAGCTTCTCTCCCAATGCATAGCATGCTCCAGCCTAAAACATTGATGATCACTCATCTGACGATAAGATAGGTCGAATGAAATTACCGTATGCCCCGAGACAATCCAGGGGAAAATCGACGCGTCACAAACGCGCAAACCTTGAATTCCATAGACACGCAGTTGAGAATCGACGACACCATTCACCTCATTCGGTGCCATACGGCATGTACTAGCGGGGTGGTAAACCGTTTCCACACGTTCTTTGACGAGCTCCAAAAGTTCTTCGTCAGACTTGAGGTGTGCACCGTGGTCGAGATCAGAACGAAGGAACCCTTGGTCAAGATACCCAGCTAAAGGCTCAGTTTGTGCGATCTTGAGGAGTAATCGCACACCCCGAACTAACTTCGCAGCATCTTCTGGTTCCTTCAGATAGCTGTAGGGTACTGTTGAGGACAAAATACCTTGGTGCGGGAGTTTACATACTTAGGGTTAACGGTAGGGAAATCGAATGGATTGGAAGAGCGAAGGAGCACCGACCCAGTGCTCAAAGGTCTGGATTCTGTCAGTAACAGTACAGCCCGATCAGAGGATGACATGCTCACCTAACAAGATAGACGTGAAGTGCGTATGTATGAACATTGAAGCCAATCTTCCCGTGCTCCTGAGAATCATGGTCAGTTTGCCTATACGGTGTAAAAGAGTCCGATCGGAAACGCACCTTATAAGCAAGTGGGGTTGAGAACAGTTCGAGGTCAGGTGCTCCAGGCCCAGACGTGCTATCCTCCAATACCTCAGGATAATCTTCCTTCGGGAATAAAATGGGGTCGTCTGAGCGAACAAAGGCAGCAGATTCACCCCACTGTTTCAATGTCAGTTTCGTAGGTTAAAATGATATCAATTGCTCACGTTGGTTGCCAAAGGTCCGCCTCGACCGATGGAATATTGCACAACCGCGTGGAGAAGTAACAGCACATCGAAGAAGGTTTTGCCACGTAAGAACTTCAAAGAACGATCGTGTTTATCTTTGAAGTAGAGGTCGATAACTGGATGGTCAACGAGATTCGATCCAACGCCAGGGAGGTCGTGCACGACAGAAATGCCATGAGACTTGAGTTCCTCGGAGGGTCCAACCCCGGATAACTTGAGGATCTACAGCACAGTTCAAAATGAGATAGGCAGGCAACGTGACTGAACCTTAGCCTACATGAGGTGATTGTACCGCACCAGCACTAAAGAAACACGGATAAAAATCTGGTTGTGGTTGTGTATAGAGACGCACCAAACGACGACCTCTTTACGAGCAAGAATGCGATATCGTGTTCCAGTAGGAGAGTCAGCAACCTGAACGCCAATGGCACGTTTCTGCCCGTTCTCAGTCTTGAAGAGTATCCGCGTGACTTGCGCATTGACCGCCACCGTAAGATTCTTCCGCGCTAGAACCTCCTTGGTGAGGTAGGCAGATTCTGATGATACTCTTTGCCTCTTCTCGTCAATGTAAGTCACTAGAGGGGTATGTGTCAAGATTCAAGAATTCAATCGATCAAAGAAGGCTCACTGATCTGTTGATCACGTTAAGAAGGTACTAAGAAGTGAGAAGAACTGACTTACTCGGCTCACACCCATTGTACCGCTTGCGACATTGAAATCAGGCGTGAAAGGAATGCCCACACTGGTGCAAGCTTTGATGAAGGCTTTCGAAGCATCGGTCACAGTGTTGTAGTAGCCAATTCGGATGGGTCCCGAGGATCCACGAACAGCTGTGTCAACGAGAGGGTATTCGGGGTGAGGTTGGTATCTTTCGAACTTGGTAAAGTATCTGCGCTGCTATTAATTCCGAAATTGCTCCTATTGGGTTATACGTACTGGGAGAAGTTCTTCCATGACCAAGAGTCATCGTTCATCAAAGTCGCCCACTGGTCAAAGTCCTCCGGCGCGCCGTATTGAGCCCTGTGTCACAGTCAATTCGCTTTCTCCGGGCCAGAGAGGATGGTAGAATACATTTGAGCGTTGATAGAGGAGCCTATGGTATCAGTTTAGGATGGACAATCAAGTCAAGTATTGTGAATAAGACTCACATCCACCTAGTAATTTGGCTGTTGTTCCTTGGTGAGAAATCTATACATAGAGAGACGCATTTTCACTTGCCTCGGGGCCATAATTGTGTTCGTCCATTGGCATGTGATTGAGGCTCTGTTCGCAATGGGAGGACGTGCTTTGTTTCGAAGAGCCTGGAGAAGGTAGAGGGGGTTCGGCTGAAGTTGAGGGCAGTACCACTTTGAAAGCAATGTAAATACTAAATCGCTCGACGAAAGGGCACTCAACACACCTCTGTCCAGCTTCTAACAAGAGCACCTTAATTGTAGGATCCTCGCTCAACCTCGCTGCCAAAGCACATCCAGCTGTTCCTATAGGGGGGCTCAGACACGACAAAATGTATAAACTCCATGTTGCTCGTACCTCCTCCAACGATAACCACGTCGTATTGAGTGCCCCCTACTTGAGCAAGATTAGACACGTATTTAGGACGCTGCTTTTTAGCATAAAGGAAGCGAAGAATGATGACGAGAGCAACAAGGCTCCCGGAACCGAGGAGCAAATGAGTGCGCGGAGTGACCTTGATCCTGTCAAGAAGAGCCTTGAAGAGGGAGAAATCCATGATGGGCTGGACTAACCAGGAGCAGTCAAAACGCCACTGCTACCTTTTAATTACCAGATGTCGTGTGGGGGAAGACCAGGAACGCAGCGTCAGCTGATGATTACATTCAAGCTCTTGGATAGGCACCATTCTCATGTGATTTTTCCAAGTTCTCTCGCCTCTCCGAAACGGGGAGACATCACAGTCGTAATGTCAAAACATAGCTTGTTTTGTGCTATGCCCATGGACGCTGTTATTGATTGGCACAATCCAGCCGTTTCGCATCCAAGTTGAAGCACCAGGCTTCAACGTTCAACCACTGCAGTGCCGTGACATTGACGTCGGACGCTCACTGGCAGACATCGTGAGCAAAGAATAAAAGGCAGCCAGGGAACTGTTTGGAGAATAGTAAAACGCTGGTACTACTAATGGATATGCGTGGCTGTGCATATTCTTGCACGTCATGTGGATCGTTAAAGAAGGTAACCAGCCCAGCTAAGCCTTGTTCTACAACTCAGCCTCCACTAACTACACTACCAAGTCCCTCTCCTCCGCACTGGCGAGCTACTCGCCCAAACGCATTTTACCATTCTTTCGCTTCAATTCGAAGCCTCCATCATCGACGTCGACTCCCAGCCTCCACAAGCGCAGCAACTCCAGCTCGACCTCTATGGAGCCGACCACATCCGCACCTAAACCCAGCCTAAAGGCATGGATAAACAACTTGAGCTTCGCGCAGAAAGTCAAGAAGGACGCCGAGTGGAAGCCAGGTGGGCTCCAGGCCGCAAGGTTCCGCCACAACGCTCATACTCTCTGATTAGATGACGACGGACCTGTGTTTGGTGTGCCACTCAAAGAGAGTCTGAAGCATGCGAGTGTCCAAATATCTACAGCTAGTACCCGGGGAGATCTTTATGTATGGGGAACCGTTCCGGTCGTGGTTGCCAAATGGTGCGTCGTCTATTCTCACTCGAAATCCATCTCATCTTCGTGTACCAATGATCAGCGGCTTGTATCTCAAAAATAATGGTACGTGGCGTATATTCAAATGAGACCGGTGTTTCGCCATACTAAGACCTTGTAGCAACCGAAGTTTCAGGCACGTTCCGTGTCAATGGCTCAAATAAGCGGACGAAAGAACTACAGGCAATATTTGAACGATCACCAGAGGTGTGCTTTATGTGCCTTGTAGTCGATCGATTTTCAAATCTTTCTTTCGTTAGTTCGGCAGAAAATTGAATTGGGAACAAGAAACTTACACTACCCACGACGTCGCCACCGTGTTTCGACGATATCTGACACATATGCCTGTACGACAACTGATACATTGATCATTAACTTTTCTGACCAGTGGCTACACAGGAGCCGGTGATACCTTATGACTTGTATCATAATGTACGTACTTCTTTTCTTCTTCACCGTTCATCATTCATATGGATGCCTAGTTTCGCGATGCCCTGGGTGCGTAATTCCCTTGTCAGAAATCTTGTTTTTGATGTTCACATTCTGAAAGCGCGGCCCAATTACATCGAGAGCGATGTCATTGGCATATATCAACGGCTAATCAAACAGATGCCTCGACCAAATCAACATCTTCTGCTATATGTTTTGGACCTTCTCTCAGTATTTGCGCACAAATCTGACAAGAATCTTATGACAGCAAGCAGTTAGTCCTTCCTTTCACACTTCTATTTCATTGTATCTGGAAAACTTTTTGCTAGATCTCGCAGTAATCTTTCGACCTGGCCTCATATCACATCCACACCATGAGCTGTCGCCACAGGAATTCGAGCTCAGCCAGAATGTGTTACAATTCCTGATCGCGCATCAAGACCACTTTATGCTGGACATACCACCACCTCCAAGAGGCGCCGTACCATCAACTAAGAAAAGCATGGAAGATGTGATCGGCGTTCCTAGCTCAGA